ACAGCCAGGACACAAACCCCAAAAAAGCAAAAGCTGTAAAAACCGGCCAAGAGGTGGCAAGCTAATGTCGCAGCAACCTACACTCAATTTTGCTCTGAAGCCTCAACGCTAAGCCCGGAACCGGGTTACTCGTAAGAAAGGAACTTTGTGCGAGAATGAGGTGGCCGAGTTTCGGGGGCTGGGGGGGAAAAGGGTTCCGGGGCTGGAGCTCTAAATCCAAGAGCCCATGAACTGACCCTAAACCCTAAACCCTAAACCGTTTCATTCGTTTCGAGACCTGCATGACACAGACCCCTACATTAAAACCCAGATCGCAACCCTTATACAGCCCTTTTAGGAGGACCTTATTCACATAACTCAGGCCCTCTCGGGTCCGGGAACGGTCAATATCGAAACGCGAGGCCGCCGCACTCAAGATCTGCCCGAAACCCCGACTAGGGATTAGGGTGATCACTAAGCCGTAAGACTGTGCCGCTTTGGCAGCTCCCTTTCACGGAGCCTTTGGCCGCATCCAGGCCGCAGCCCATCTTGCACTTTCCTGGGCCGACCTGACCGTTTCTTTACTTTAGGGTAACATTCTCCCGGTTTAGGGTTTAGGGTTTAGGGTTTAGGCTTTGCGGTTTTTCTGCCGTTCCCGTTGTGATCTATTGTGTCTCCTCCTTTGCGGTTACCTGTCTGCCTGTGTCATCCTGTGTCTATAACAAGTAGGAGGGCCAGTAGGTTATCGTAAGGCCCGCATGGAAGCCCATAACTAACCAATTATAGTGCCATGCTTTTGCAGTTAAGGTTGCCTTTAGACGGCGAGGTTGGTATCGGGAACTGAGTTCGAGACTTCTTTGCTGATGAAAAATTGAGATTCGAAGAGATTTAGATTCAAGACACAAGCTGGCCAAATACTTGCCACTTGTGGGTCTGCATCACGGCAACAAACAAGTTACGGTCTACGGTGTGCTTCTTCGAGAGAGTATGTGGAAGGTTTTGTAGGTGCTTGGCATACAGCTCTCGGGCTTTGTGGGCGGGAAGACTGTCGGTAATGGAGTCAGGATAGTACCGAAGAGCATAATCAGAAACATAACAGTCACAAGCATTCATAACACTCATAACCATAACAATTATAACTATATCCGGACCAGTCAGAATCAGGATTGTTTAATATTCCGCAACTGAAGCCAAGAGCGGTCAGAACAGTAGGTGGTAGCAAGTGATGGAGCAAGGATTGGCTGTACTCAGTTTGGAGAGCCGTTTAGGTTGAGAGAAGCAAATATAACAAGTCCAAGACATGGAGGTATAGCTTCTTTGGGTGGGTAAAACTTTCCCGCCAGTTTTTTTGGCAAGTTGAGGCAGGGTGAAGTTGGTAGGCGCGGAATCGATTCGGATTTGACCTGGCTGTGAAAGTAGATTATCAGAAACCGTTTGCATCATGCCGGTGCATTGATTTAGGTGTTTGTTTGATTTCCGAGTCGTCACAATTTGGATTTGGTGGCTTCTTCGCTGCATCCTAACTCGCTGTAGCACTTTTGTTACAAGCGACAAGCTTTCCACCGAGCCTCAATGCCCCATTTCGCCCACAGAGCGAATAGTGGTCGTCGCACAGTCGCCACCGAATTTTTGCAGAAAGGAGACTGGGAAGCAGAGCCTTTCCATCGGCTAGGCAGGGCTAACTGACGGTCCGAAAGGTTTCTGCTGGACTTCTGGATAATTTAAACTTGTCTTCCGGAGAACTCCCAATCCACCTCTGCTGCTCGAGTGGCAACAGGTGACACATGCCGCTCGAGATATTTCAGGCAAGTCAGCTAGCAACTGGCCTTGAAACTCTCGTCTAGCACTTGTGGCTGAACTTTGCATCTTGAACCTCTTGGTCTTTGGTGCAGAAGCACAGCACAAAGCCGAAAAAGCTACCGACCAAGAGGTGTTGACCGGGGAAAGGGTGGTGTGGTCTTGAGCGCACAGGGCGGTGCGAACTAGGGTTGCTGAGCTGTTGAACTGCGAATCTTGAGACATGAGAGGCAGACGGGGGCGAGAGAGCCTTCAATTCCAATGACCTAGCATCGCATCCCAATAGCCACACAAAGCCAACTCTTGACTGAGGTACATCACACCATAAATTTACCCGAAGTCATACTATTCTGAACATTCCTTCGCCCATACCTTCTGGCTGGGATTTGAAATCTCAACCGTCTGACTCGGAAAGCAGTCTTTGCCGCTGCGTGCCCTGGGTCGGTGCAGCGCACATTGCCTCTACTCCGGTCCTTAGCAGCCGTGGGGGTTTTAGGGCTTACGCGGAGTCCATGCCTTAGTAGTTGGGGGCATCTCCAGAGTTGGAGCATGGGTTGGGAATGATAAGTGCTGGGTTCCCCTATGCTGTACCTGAAGGGCACCAGGCTCACGATGTTCTAACTTTCTGGATTCTACTATTGGGAGGTCTTGACGGTGAGTGTGTTACCTCAGGGCAGCCTCTGTCACAGTTCCATGAGACCCTTGCAAGCATGAAAACAAAAGCAGCTACCCGAAATCTGGACCCTCAACCGAACCTCTGACTGGCACAAGTGCAAGAAGCCCAAGCCAAGAATCCAGATCCTTCGCATGCCGCTGCGCTGGAACTGCTCCTTGATCTCCCGGCTTGCTGCAATCTCTTGCAGCGACATGGCAACCTCCCGACCCGACCAGAGTTCCCATGCGGCCACGTGAAGTATTGGTGTTAGGCATTCTGCTGTCGCTCGCAACTAAGGTCTAATGATGCTCCTCAGCTTATTGTACTGTTTATCCTACTGAGCTTGTGTAGAAGGTGTAGCAGCCTTCATCTGATGCCTGTTGAGCGTCCTACGGTTCTCTTCCGGGTCTGCTACTGTCTGTTCCCCACGGCGGGTTTGTGACAGAAGTTGCAGCTCCCGTGCGCTACTGGCGCTTGCTGCAAACCTTAACCTTCGTCTGCTATACAGTGATGAACTTCCTACGGGATGTTGATGAGGCTTCTTTCAGACCAGGCCTTGTGGAGGTCCTGGTGCAGATCCAGCAGCTTTGATTTCGTCTGTTTGGAGACCTGCCGGCGGTGGAGGCTTTCGGCTCGAGTGTCGTTCGACACTCGCAAAGCCCTACCCGCAGTGGAAACCTCCACACTCGAGCTTCAAGCCTGGATCAATTTCTCCAAAGCAGCCGTAGCAGTCGCTGTAGCAGGAGCAGGAGTAGCAGTACCAGCAACAGTAGTAGTAGGAGTAGTAGTAGGAGTACAGCAGGAGGAGGAGGAGCGCCAGTGGTAGTGTGGCGGTAGTGGTATTGGCAGTCGTCGTGGCAGTGGTGGCGCTGGACTGTTGGCAGTAGCAGGAGTGTCGCAGGTGAGAGTGGTCGCCGCAGCAGGAAGAGGAACAAAAAGTCGGGACAGCAGCCGGCTTCTAATCACAATCAATTATGGAGAGGAGGCAGCTATGAGTAGACCCAACCTCGGTAAACTCCTTCTGCTGGCTGCCTCGGCGCACCAGGGCCAGAAGTCAAGGGTGAATTTGACGCCAAATGTGTTATGCATTCTCGGCTTGCATGGTCAAGCACAAACCGTTTCAAGGAGAATCTAGAGCGTGCCACTTGTGTTTCTATGCACAAAAGTATGAGCTATGCACCGGGACCGCAGCCCGACGGAGAGCTGTTCGCGCATCTTGTCCGAAGCCCACGCTTTCATGTAACTTACACAGCTCGAACGCTGGACTGTCTTGCCGTGCAAATCCCCGACGAACTTATTGTAGCTATGCGGAAGAACGACAGCCGGCCCATGATTGAATCATGCCTATGAACCTCAGGTCCCGAAGCCAAACAGCCCCTGGATTCAACAAGCTGACACAGGACTACAGAACACCAGTCACGCGGCACACATCCTCCTGTCGGTCTTCCAAGGCATTACCTGGGATCGCTTGGATCTGTAGATGACAGAGGCTTTCTCTGGTCGCTCGAAGGCTCAAGATTTCTTGGTGTGCTTCCTGCAGGTTACAGGTCGAACGCGGCGGTTGAAATGCTAACAGTTGTCTCGATCCGACGGCGTTCATGACTCGGCAGTTGGGTTTCGATGTTGGATTGGGACTTCAGGTCAGAAGTTAAAGGGAATCCGGGGTGTGAATCCGGGGTGGAAGTCCTTGCGGCCGTTGCCTGAACCCTTCGTCACACATTTCCTATCGGCTCAAAGGTGCCCAGGGCTGGACCACAGGACGGCAACAACTCCGAGAACCTCAAAAGTATGGGACTTTCTACTCTTTTCGAGCCTTCAAACCTAAACTGGGTAGGTCTCAAGCTTTTTGGGGGCACAGAGATGCTGCTGCGGTCAAGATTCTTCGCAGCACCAGTGAGAAGGTAACTTTCAGCATCGAAATCCCGCAAAGCACCCTAGGGCCAATGCCCTGTCTGATCCAAGACTTGAGTACACACGGGAGAGGGAAGGCTTACATCTTGGAAACAGACTCCTAAGAAGCCGTTGGCGAGGTCGGCAGCCCCGCACGTCGACCAATGCTTTTGCAGGTTACTGCTCAACACTGTTCGATCCGGGCTGCATTCCTCTCGCAGCACTTCGTCCACTTGCTTGCTCATGACTTTCACGTTCCTGAATTGCCAGCAATCTGACATGGAACGAAAGCAAGACTGCACGCGTCGAATAGTAGTAGTCGTCATCGTAGTAGTTAGTAGTTGCAGCAGGAGTAGTGGTAGCGGTAGCACTATGTAGTAGCAACCGAACTGCAATAGTAGTCGTCGGCAGTAGCGGTAGCAGCACCCCTGCCCGGCTCCAGGGTTCAGGGCTTTCCTCAGGGTTTTCGTGTTGGGCAAAAGATTCTCGCCGGATTGTCTCCTTAGGGTTCTCGTCGGGTTCCTGCTGCATTTCACCCCTTAGGGGTTTTCGCGCGGGCAAAAGATTCTCATTGGATTCAGTCCTTAGGGTTTTCATCTTGGGGTAAAGGTTTCTGCTGCATTCACTCCTTAGGGCTTTTGCGTGGGGCAAAAGCTTCTCGCTGGATTCACTCCTTGGTTTCTCGTGTTGGGCAAGCGACTCTCGCTGGATTCACTGCATAAAGATTTCGTCTTGGGAAAAGGTTCCTGCTGGATTCACACCTGGGGCTTTCGTCTTGGGCAAAAGGCTCCGGCTGGATCCACTCCTCAGGGTTTTCGTCTTTGGATCGAGGGTTTAGGGTTTAATGTTTACGGTTTTGGATTTCGCCGAATTGTCTCCTTAGGGTTCTCGTCTTGGGGAAAACGTTCTCGCTGGATTCACTCCTTAGGGTTTTCGTCTTGGGGAAAGGTTCTGCTGGATTAACTCCTGAGGGTTTTCGTGTTGGGCCAAACGTTCTCGCTGGATTCCTTCCTTAGGGTTTTCGTCTTGGGGAAAAGGTTCCTGCTGCATTCACGCCTCAGTTTTTCTTCTTGGGTAACAGCTTAAGGGGTTTTGGATTTAAGGTGTACGGGGTGGCTCGTCATGGGTAGAAGGTTATCACTGTATCACTGTTCTAGGTAGATTTGGCATTGGCTTGTAAGTATGCAGTGTTTCACAAGAGACGGGAACTTGAGGCAGGGGCAGTGG